GGGAACCGTGAACGGGACGAGCGTGCTGCGGGCGGGCGCGTGGGGAGGTTTCCGAGGAGGTGGGGAGGTTTCCGAGGAGAAGCGGAGGACCCGCCGTGCAGCGCTTCGCGAGGTGCAGCTGCAGCGGGCTGAGCCCTCCCCGCAGCCCCGAGGTGCAGCAGGGCCAGAACCGGCTTCGAAAACCTGCCGCGCTGGAGAAGAGGGACGTGCGGCTCGCCCGGGCGCTGGCAGCCTCCCGCCGTTGACGCGCGTGTCTTGCAAGATGTTTTGGAATCGAAGACCATCACCGTCGGGGACCTGCAGTGTGAGCCGGCACGGGTCTGCAAGGCCCACCACGACCTGCACATGCGGGGCGAACTGCTGGCCTCCGGACCCCTCGTGACAGGGCAGACCTACACCAGCGTAGCCACAAGCCTGCTGCCCACCGCAGAGCCTGCCTGGCGTCACCATCCTGCTGATAACCCTTTTACACCAAGGACCGCAAGCTTCTGTTTTCAGAGTCCAGCAGCAGCAAGTAAAGTTTCCTGTGGTTTGCTAAAAAAAAAATTAATGTATTTGAAGAAAATATAGAAATAAACAATTTTATATAAATCATACAAGAAAATATTTATGTATTTAAAACTTCGGCCTCAAAATATTTTTTGTGGGACAACTATAAAAAATAACCTAAACAATGAATTACAGACTAAAACTTATTTATAACATACCTAAAAAAATCACTGTAAGCAAAGTGTCTACATAAGCATAAATAAAACACACACTGCCAATTAAAAGAAATAAAAGATAAAAAGGACTATTTACAAAAGAAATACATTTGACTAAAATGTATTTAAATAGGATTATTTACCAAATTGTAAAGTAAGGCTAACCTTTGACCTTGCAACCTACTTTTAGGAATCTTCTTTAGACATACTAGCAGTAAGATATGTTTACAGTGATAGCCTGTATGATCTCAAATAAATAGAAACAATACCATCAAGAAAGGAGACAGTAAATTACAAAATATTCCATTATTGTTACCAGATCTCTCTATATATGAAATTAGAAAGTTCTTTAAGACCTAAGTAAAAAGAAGTTACAGGAGAATCCTATGTAAATTATATATATGTGTATGTACCCATTCATGTATATACTTGGTGATTATTTTCACACCATTTTTTGTATGAACAGACTTTTCCTTAAAAATAAAAATTGTGTTCATTTAAGGTATACAACATGATACAATGAAATGATTGAGTCAGTCAAGCAAAGTAACATCCATCTTCCCCCATTTTTAGCGTGTGTGCATGATGAGGGTACTGGAAGTCTGTTCTATTTAGTTATGTGGGGTGAGTGAGTCTAGAGACCTTATGGATTGACTCTTACTGTAAGGAAACATTCATGTGTTTCGTGTTGAAACTGAAATAATATAGGTGTATTCAGGGAAGGCTGGGAACTGTCTCAGATTCTTCCTCTCGTGATAAAGAACTACGTCAAGGCAGGAGTGAAAAATCACATGTCCATTGCTAACTTGGTTTGGACCTCTCCATACCTCCATTTATCTTGACTGTAGGCTCTGCTGACAATTTTTCTTTTGTAGGAGGTGTTAAATGGGCATAAGAGGAAATTCTACGATATTAGTCAGATGTTTGTTATGCAAAAACTGCATTGTTGCGAGGTCACAGATATGATCTGTTCCAACTTCCATACTTCACATGGAATCCTGATTTCTGAGATGACCAGGAAGCTTTAATGGGAATTTCATATTTCTCATGCTTGAGTCACATCCCTTCACCCAGAAGCCTGGGTTAACTTTACCACTGTTTGAGAAATTGAACAGGTTAATACAACTTTCTCAGTTTTTAAACCAACAATATAATAAAAAAAGGAAGTTTCATTTAAAAAAGTAATAAACATTTTGCATTTTACAGCAAATACTATCTTGCAATCTGATGATCCACAAAAAATGATTTCCAATGTCACTTTCTCTATATTGACACTTTTTAATCCACAAATTCTATTACTTTCCATCAACTCTGCCCAGCTTTTAACTGCATGGCTTATCTCTCTTGGTCAGATCACTGTATAAGAGTAGTTGATGCGCTTGTGCTATGGTCTGTTCTGTTCATCAGGCCCTGTGTCCCTGGGCCCTTAAAGAAATTCACTGGTTTCCCTAGACATTGACAAGGAAAAGCCAGAAATCTTGCTTCTCAATTTGGTGACTCTAGTTCTTAGAGACTGCTTCTCTTTGCCGAATACCTTTGCTTAGAGTCTCACTTGCATTCAGCTAAACTGTGTTTATATACTCAGTGTGAGTCCACATAGAGAGACCATCTCCCCACCTTTAGGACTCCACGGTCCCATGGCCTATTCTGGAATGAACTCTTGAGTTCAAATAGACCCTTGAGTGTCTCACGCTTGGTTCTCAACCAAAAAACTGATACAGTGCCAAGGTCGCCAGTAAGCTGTGACTCTCCTCTCTTGCTCTCTTCTAGCTAGGTTTAGAAAGCTGCAAGTCCCCGACCAAAAGCTCAGGCCTCTGGTGATATGAGAAAATTAGATGACTGATGACTCCAAGGTCTCCCATCATTCTAATATCTGCAGAGTCCACATGAAAACAAGAACATTGGAGTCCTGGATCCAACACCAGTGTGATTACTTTCAATTTCTAAAACTTCATGTGAAAGCGGAAGTAACGTGCTGGAAATGATTTGTTCCTTTCTGAAGTTACATTATTTTAAATTTTTGTAATGGAAGGAAACCATCCTACTGGTGGCCAGTGAACGAGGGAGGCAGTGTGGATCTGAAGAAGTCAGAGGTGATATTGAGCACCAGCATCTATAGCCTTGTTTGTTTGATGTGGCCCTTGGAAATACACCTTTTGTTTATGTTTCTAAATGTTCCTTTTATCTCTATACAAAAGTGTACAGAGGAAGTTGCCAAAATTAGTCCACATTTTGGGTCTGCGCCATGGTTAAACTTAGTTATAAAAGAGATCAAAGACTTTCCATTCTGATCCAAATAGCTGCAGCCCAGCAGCAGCTCTGGTGGCAGCATGAAGTGGATGAACGTTTTCTGATTTGGGACATCTAAGCAATACCTTCCAGGGTGCAAGGTACAGAAAGAGGCAGCATGCATGCTTGCTTTGAGATGCCATGTGCCTTCCAGGATTTGACGGAAAGATGACTGTTTAGTGGGAAGTCCCAGGTACTCCTGATGATAGCCTCCAGGAAGGATTCACTGCTGATGGACAATTTTTCTCCACTTTATTTTTTCCATGGTGTTCCATGCTTCTTTTAGGTGAAGCCAAAGAGTTGAAGATTCTTCTTTGCAACTCCCCCTGTTTCCCTTTTTAATACTACTTTCAGGTTCTGAGCTTTCCTGCTCCTAAGACCAGTGTCGCTGTGGAAAGTGAATACAGACAGAAGCAGAAGACCTTTGGGCTCTGGGCATGAATAGGATAGCATCATGAAATTATTCATGATCCAAACCAGAATGTTGGTGAGTGAAAGTGCACATTTAGTAACTAACCCCAACAACTGACAAATTGGAATTTATGGCTGTCCTATGCATAAGTGATCAGTGATTTCTGGCACCCAAATCTGTTAATTTTTTAAATTTTTAGTATAGCTGGAATAATTCTACTGCTGATGTCTGTTGGTTTATTGAAAGGGACAGTTAATGCTTAAATCTTTTTAACTAATTTTTTCATGCACATACTGGATATTTTCTAATAATTTCCTTAGATTATTACAGATAATTGTTTTCTGCCCCTGAAAGCAAACCTAGTAATAAGGAAAAAAAAAATGAGCAAAGAAGTTCCTTACAACTTAGAACACAGACCTCTTGTTAAATAATATAGCTCCAGAATAGATTTTGCTGCAAAGAAAGTGTTCTGTACAAATTCTTTAAAGAAGTCTTTCAAATGGACTATTTTTTAGGATGCCACCACCCATTACTTACAAAGAAAGCCTTGAAGGGGAGCCGCAACACCTCAGGCCATTTCTAGCAAAGAGATGTACATTCAGTGCCCTCAACACAAAAATGCTATTGTAACTATACTCAAGTTATTTTTTGCATCTAATGTATTTTTGTCTTTAAACTGTAGTTGTACTGCCGTGTTTCCTTTCTGTTTGTTTTACCACTTCCCTTCTAAATATTTTGCATCATCCTGGAGATTTTCCCAGGTTGTGGTCCGCTTGCTGGAGGGCTGCATTCCTCCGATTTGTGGCATTAAGCTGTTGCCATGGCAGGGGATGTTTACCGTGGGGAACACTCTACAGGATGGGCAATTCCAGCCTCCTTCCTCCTCTCCTCCGCATGCTCAGCTATTCGGAGACAGCAGCCCAGATATGGCTTTCTTTACTCATGAACTACATTCCTTTAAGATAGGGAAATATTTGGTTCTGTTTATTCCTTTGAAACTGGGCAGTGCCCTCTTGAATGTTATGACTCATCCACTTGTCAGAGCTGGAATCTCCTCCTAACAGCTTTCCTTTAGGTAAATCATAGCACTAAAATTTGCAAAATAAAAATGCCAGAGGACAAAGCATGACCCCGTAGCCCTCAAAGGCCATCCACTTAACAGAGGCCTCTGTTGACCAGGAGGATTTTGATCCAAGAGAAGAAAAACTTAGTCAGAACCTGACAGGTCTTCCTCCTTCGCATTCCTGCAGAGGAACTAGCCTGGAGAGAGATAAGAGCCAAGGGTAGACACCCTGATTATGCCCACCTTTTTATTTGTTGAATGTGGAAATTGACTTCATTCAATTAATAAGCGCAGGAAACAGTTTTTGTTTTCTCTTTGTATGAAAACATGAAGTAATGGTTTTATCTTAATTTGTCAGGCATTACCCAAGAGACTACAGCCATGTGGGCTGGTGGCCAAAAACTTGCTCTAAGGCCTAAGTATTAACACCCAGATATAAAAAGAATGCTAATTGGTTTTCCAGCTGAAAAATAATAGGGAAGGTGGTGCCAGAAATGTTGTGTGCCATGGAAACCCCAAGTTTATACAATAGGGCCTGATTGCGATCTGGGGGCTCCATTTGTGCTCAAACTAGAGCTAAACAAAGGAAGGTGTTTCACTCGTCTGCCTTTGTAGAAAGCTCCTGCCCCAGATTTCAGCTTGGTGTTGCAGCAGGCTTCCCACAGTCTTCCTGCCAAATCTGCAAGTTTTTTCCTGGCTTCCATTCAGGAAAGTACAGCTCCGTCCGTAGCATGGAAAGTGAAAAAGGACTCGCTTGGATACACTGAAATATATACAAACACTGCTTGCTGTATGGAGAGGGCTGGTTCTGCACTGGCTATTGCTGCCGACATCCTGAGGAGATAGAATACAAGATTTTTAAAGGACACTTTGGTTAAGAGATTGAGTTATTAGCTGGAAGGAAAAACTTCAAATTTTTGAAAAAGCAAATTCAGCATTCTTAATTTTCACTATTACCCATCTTAATTTTCTCATTAGTAAAACCTCGACTAACCTTCAAGAGATAAATCAGGTGAGGAAATTGGACTGGGTCACCTCGGGCCATCTCTGACTTCAGGCTGGGTCTGGCATTTCTGGAGGATACGAGAGAGCTACTGATTGTCATTATCGTTAACTCCCTGGGAGTTAGCTGGGTAAGACTCCGGCTGAGGAGCCACTGGTGCGGTGAGCCCAGACTGTGCACTGATGCCTTTTTGCTCATTGGCGCACTTTCTGAAGCTTCCTTCTGTGACTGTGGGACCGCCTTGCTCATGGGGATGTGCCTGAAGTGAAAGGAGTTCATAGTAGTTACAACCTTGTTCTTGATATTTATGGCTAACACCATTGCAGAATTCATGATATTTAAATAATATTATTCATAATGCTTTTTGAATTGTGGGTAATATTAAAATACGTTAACTATCCTGACACCAAAAATAGTCATAGGCTATGGCTATATTATCCTAGTCATGAATGTAACTAAGTCTAAATGTTTTTTTAAAGAACTACTTTGATAAATGAAGTAAAACATATTCTCAAAACGACCACTTCTGTTTCATCTGTGAAGCCTCTCAAACCACTCCACAGTCCTTTGGTTTCTCAGTTGTCATTTGCAATACTTTTACCATTTTCATGAAATAAAATAAGCATATGGAAGATTCAGAAGCCAGGTGAGGACTGACCTGGGACCGGAACAGGAGGAGCTCTTTTTCCTTTCCTTTCCTTTTTTATTTTTAACTGCAGGGAGCAGAGACCCATTCAGTGTGCTCAAAGTAAAGAGAATTATGGTAAACCTGGGGATCAAGAAAAGAGTCTTGATGTGAACTACAAACCTATCAGACTCTGGGAGGTGCTCTTCAGCTCTTAGGATCATGTACAGCCCCTCTGACTCTCCTGGGGATATCTACTTCCATGCTTCCCTTTTCTTTCTGCCAGTTTTTTTCTGCTTTTTCATTTCAACGTAACTCTCCCCAAACTACTGAACTAGACTTAAGGTATTATTTCCAAAATTTGAGCGCATTACCCATTGCTTCTTGTGCTTGATATCCAGCTCTCTAGCCATTTACCCAGTGTGGTTGGGTACAAACACCTGGGTGGAGACAGTGCAGACAGCCTGGGAGTGAGCAGGCACTCAGGAGAGTCACCGCCTGCAGTTATGTTGCACACCCATAGAAAGTTCCTGAGGGCGTGGAAAAGGCTTTGCTTCACCGATTTAGATCACCGTGTTTAAGACCCTGCAGTGCAACTACCATGGTGATTGCTAACCTTGACCCATATAAGAATCATCTGAAAATTTTAACAGCACGTTAGTATCCAGCCCTCTGCTTCACCACCACTACCAGTGATTCTGAATTTCATGGATGGCCCAGAGACCAGGCAGAAAGAGCTGCTGGGCTTTCCAGGACAAGGCTCAGCATACTGAGGTCACTGAGAACATGACTGCTATGCATGAAGAAGTGATCACCCTTGAAACTGAAAAAATGATGGATATGGAAAAGCTGTGAAATAGTTTTAAATGTTTGCTTGGTAGTACATTTATGCAAAGATTTTCTTTTATTAGTCAATCAACTCATCTTCAAAATACTGTCCTGGCATTGGTGGTATAGTGGTGAGCATAGCTGCCTTCCAAAATGTTGCCCTGTTGTGGATTCTTTAAAACCAGGAACTCTTGAGTTCGGTTCCCGGTACCGGAGAAAAACCAGAAAAAAATAAAAATAAAAATAAAAATAAAAATAAATAAAACCAGGAACTCTTCAGATTCTCATTTTATTAGGAAATGAGAGCAAATTTTGAGCTGAAGACAAATCAGAGGGCCACTGGATGACAATTATTTTAGTTTCAGCATTTGATAAATCTGAACTGAGTTGAGTTTGTCTCCAGAAGGGTAGGGAGCTGACTCACTGAAGGATTATACGGAGCTGCTCATTCCATGTATTTTTTACACTATCTTTGTTGTCACTGCACTTCGCCTTGAGTGTTAGAAGCAGCAGACAGCATTGATTGGCAGGAGAATTCCTTGGTGGAATAGTTTCTGGAGTTGTTCAATATGGTCAGTGAATGCAAGAGGGTATTTCAAGCTTTCAAATGAATTGGCTTAACTTCTGGTTCCTGAAAGAATAGCACTGCCTTGCCTGCCTCTGATACCCCCTTGAGATATTTCTTAACAATCTCTGCATGTCAAGGCATCCTAATCTTGTGAACACACTTGATACTAATTTCATTTTTTTGTAGACTGTGGATCATGGATGTCTATATCTATGGTATTATGCCAATTTCCTTCTCTGAGAAGGAGCTATTTTGCCAAGTCATCTGCAGTAACAGAAGGCCTAGTAGTACTGACCTCTTGGGCAAAGGATCTTGAGGGAGAACAGAGTGAAAGATATCTTTAACAATTTTTGATACAGAATAATCAGACTCAATATCCTTCTTCTATACCATGACCAGTTTCAGTATTAACACTTTGGATATTATCCTGGACTCTGGATAGGAGGATCCCTTTTTGGATTTTCCACCTGCAGTTAAAAAAAGAACCTATGTCCTACACACTCATCACCTTCAGCAAGGATGATTCTAGAACCTTTGCATATTTCAGACTGGGTCCCAGATCAGTGCCTAAAAAGGAGCGGGAATGCCTTCCATAATTCTGCTCTGCTGAACACCACTGAAACCCCTGAAGTTGCCACAGTCACAGGTAGCAACAACTCAGCACTGTAGACATTTTGCTAGTTATGTATTGAAAATCTAACTCTGAAAGAATGACTGTCATTAATGAGAACTACTTTTCTCTTAGCACACAAGACTTTCAGATATGCTCATAAAGAAGGAACAAAGTAGCTAAATGGAAGATCCATTGTGAGCTTCACAAACTTTCAAAAGAATAACATACATTTTCCTTTAAAGACTTGATTTTGTTGCCTCAAGCCATAAAATACTTTTCATCACATGAATCATAGGGAGTAAACTTCTTGGCAAATTTTCAAAATGCCCCCATAGTAGCAGCTCTAAATTGAGGATCTACTTGGGAATTAAAATAGAAGATGTTCTCAACTGGTTTCTAGAATGTCTTGTCATTATCCAGCTCACCTTTGAAGAAACTCTGATTCAAAACTCACTTTTGAGTTTAACACCTCATTTTGAGTTATCTACTTTATGATAGACTTCTGATGAAGATATAAGTATTAACTATACCCTTGACCCTGAGAACACTTTCCTTTTATAGAGAAAAAGTAGAAAAATATGCATATGGAAATCATGCTATTTGGTAAGAATTATCTCCAGAACATTGTGGGGAAAATATTGGATACCTAACCTATTCTGGATAGAGTGAACAGCCGGGTAGGATGGTGTAGGGGTAGAGAAAGTGTCTGGAGGAGATGATGCTGAGGCTGAGTCTCCTGAGGAGATGGAAAGAGCCTGCCTAAAGCTATGGGGTGGAGAACAGAGGAAGACAAGCCAACGGCAAACAGCCAAGAGAGCACAGGCCACTGAGGAAGTGGCTGTGGTGGACTGACAACTGGTGTTCAATTTGTAACAGCCAGCTACACTGAGTCAGTGTGGTGCTGGGTGTGGGAGGCCCACCTGAGGATTGTTGCCAGCAGCATAAGAGGCAGACCTGGAGGAGAAGTGAGGCTGTTGGGAGCTGGTAAAAGCTGTTGGAAGCTTCTGGTTTTCCTGGAGGACCTCATCATGCTGACTTCCCTGATGAACGCAGCTGTTCTCATCAGAGGAGCTCAGGACCTCGGTGTTGCTGAGAATGGCTATGGTTCACTTTGGGGGAGCTCTGGTCCTCACTTTGAGCATTGCTTCCTGGCTCCGGAGGGGAAGATGGTGCACTGCTCAGTCTGCTGGAGAAGCTTGTTGCATTGGCTTTCCTCATGGGAAGTTGGCTGTTATCATCATCAGAGGAGCTTGGGACCTCACTGTCGCTGAGGATGGCTGTAGTACTTTTCAGGGGAGCTCTGGTTCTTATTTTGAGTGTTGCTTCCTGGCTCCAGTTCAGATCCCTCAGCCCGCTAGCAGAGATCCTTCATCCTGCTGGCATGTTGGGAGCAGCTGAAGCTGGAAAGTAATTGCATGTGTAGGACGAAGCCAGTCCAAGAACATGGGAGCTCCTTGAAGCACGTAAGCAAGCCGTTGCAGCTTGTTAACTGATTGCTGGGCAGAGAGGCTTAAATTAACATCAACCTCTCCAGGGTATAAATAAACTTTCTACTGTTCTTGGGCAGTTCCTCTCCTCCATTCAGGAGAAAGAGAACCTCCACCTGATCCCAGCTTTTTGTCTCTTGTCTCTGTTTTCCTCATTCTTGCTGTTGTTCCTTCGTGGGGTACAGCAAGAGCCCAACAGATCCTTACACTGACATAGACTTTCTAACTTCCACCACTGACCTTTGGGCCTTCCCAGGGCAGATCTGTGAAACAGGCCTGCATGAGACATTGTAGTGGGCTCTAGGCCTCCAGTTGGACTCATGGGAGGCACTGTTATGGGCTCTAGGTCTTCAGCTGGACTCATGCCGGACATTGCCATAGGATCCAGGCCTTCAGTTGGATTCTTTGTTCTCTAGTGTGTGGACATATTTCCTGAACTCTCCTTTTGTAAATGATTCTTTGGGCGACTATTATAAATAATCTTATGAAATATGTGTCCTGTAGTATATTGTTCCTCTTGCAAAACCCCAAACCACAGTGGCAAATATTTCTGTGTCCCTGGAATATTCATGGAGTAGAGGGTTTAGGTGGGGAACAAGAAGTGACTGGCAGCCTAAGTCAAAAATTACATTATAGTTCTGTTAAGGATGTCAGTTTTCCTTCATGAATGTGGAGATATTAAAGAATTTTAATGCCCATGTTTTCCTGTGACCCAGGCCACACAGTGATGGGTGGAGTACAGAGAGAATGGGAAGTCTGGAGATAAGGAGATGTATGAGAAAGCTGCTGACCAGTGGAACAGAATAGAAAATACAGAAACAACTCCAGGCCATGGAGTTGAGTAGCTTTTTACAAAAGGGCCAAATCCCTTCACTGGAGAAAAGCCTCTTTAATAGATGGTGCTGGGAAATTGACTGTCCACATACTGAAGGCTGAATTTAGACCCATATCTCGCATTATGTTAAACTAAAATCAAGTGGGTCAAAGAATCTGCTGGAAGACAAAGTAGGCAGAACTCTCAATGACGTAGACATAGGCAAAGAGTTCCTGTATGAAACTCCATTTGCACAAGAAATAATATGAAGAATAAATAAATGAGATCTCACTAAATTAAAAAGCTTTTGCACAGGCACGTCAA